AAGACCATAAATATTTTTTAAGAACATAAATATATTTTATGAACAATTATTTTTTTCTAATTATTGTCCAAATATATATTTTTATTGTCCATAAATATTGTTGTATTGTCCATATATATTTTTTACTATTGTCCATTTTTAGTGTCCAAATGTGTTTTTTATTGTCCATATATTTATTCTTTTACCTCATAAATATGTATTTTTACAACATAAATATAGTTTATTAAACAAATATTTTTATATATAATTTTGCCATACTCCACACGCCATAGACAAGTACTATGGAAAAGTTCAATTGTATAGTAAATATATATACATGTATACTATAATTTATTGTTGTGTCATAGCATTTTCTTACACGTAAATGCAATGTTGTTAAGCATAAAATCATCAAATAACACTCAGCTCTAGAAATTTGGATACCCATTACATCATACCATGAATTTTTCTGCAGGGTCATTTGTAGGTCAGTGTAGAGAATTTTCCCCAGAAAAATAAAATAAGGCCAAAAAAAAACATTACATTTGTTTCCTGTACCTTACTAACAAAGATGAGTTTATGTACTCATTTTTTTTATTGAATTGTTGTTATTTTTTCAATCTTTGTTGAATTGAGTTCAAACTTGGACAAAGCACATTTTCGGACATACTGTTGAACCTGATGTTTCATATGCAAAATTGAATTTCAGTATCAGTTCTGTCAGCTGTAATTGAATTTTGATGTGCGTGTGTGTTTGTGTTTGTTTACCCTCGCCACCGGAAAGAGACCATATGGGCGAGCATATACTTCATTTATAACCTTTATAAAAAAAAGGGGGAGCTGATGTTTAATTACTAATTGTTATATCTGTACATGTGTTTATGTGCATACCATATCCCCCATGACAGGGTAGTCTCTACGTACAACCTCTGCCATGGGAGGAAGATGGGGCAATCCCATACTAAGTTTGAGAAATCTAAAATTTAATAATTAAAAGCACTTAATTTAAAATCGGCCAAGACGTTTATATAGATTACCGTCTTTTATAGCAGGACTAATATTTATTTAATATAACTAAAATTTTTTAGAAATTTACCTATAATTGTAGAGTTCGCATACTTATGTGCGAGAAGTCATGTCAAGAACGTTTTCTGACCATTTCATTGTGGGCTGACTGTTATTTCTGTTGGTTTCTATTTCAATGTTATAAACCGTATACATTGGGATGCATATAATTAATTACATGTTTGTAATTAGCAGAGTTTGTTTTAAATTTTGTAAATTTTGTAAGTTCTACCGAACACCCGCTTTATAAAGTTAATTTTGATTGGTTTAGAGAGGATTGCCTCCTTTGTTCTCATTGGTCTAAAATTTCTTCTTTCTAAATAAGGAGGTCAATCCGATTTTCTTGAAAGTTCTGCAAGTTTTTCTGTTGACCTATTTCGACAAGTTTGTCGCGCGGACTGGATAGAAATTTTGCGGGTGCCCGTTGCATTCCAATGTATACGAGTTTTTACCAACTTTATTTCTAAATTAAAACAAATATAATAATTAAAATGTGGTGGTAACGGCCTTATCTATTTATCACTGTCTCATGGTCTATAAATTATTATGCATCTAGATATCACACATAATAATTAATCTTCTACTATTTAAACAATTCATAGAAGAATAAGAAAAAATCTAAGTCCCAAATATGGCTAATAATAATAACTTGGTTACCCATAATGTGATGAGATAGTCTTTTGTAACATATTTAAGAAAATCTCATGCTTGAGTGAACCCGTGATAAACGTATTGCTCCATATGGGGGCACGGGTTCACGTTTACTAGTATTAAGGATACTAGTTTATATATACAGGAGTAAAAAAGATAGATAATAAATAACACGGGGCGGGGGGCAAGGGGATATATACAATATGGAGTCTTTTTTGACATTATGGGTAATCTGTAGCCAGCACCTCCCAATTTTGAAAATAACCATGAGACTGTATGGTAAAAATAGTCTAGTGCACTGCCTATTTAAGAAATTATTCAATTAAAATTACATGGCAATAAAAGTACAAATTAAATAAATAAATAAACTTCTCAATAGCACCGTTTCACGGCCACTTATTAGGGCCACTTTTAAAATAAACACTTAAAATAGGTTATGTACACTTTATACAATGGCTGTGCACTGACTCAAAAATTTAAAACCTAAAAATATATAGTCGAAACTTACATACAGTATCCTATACTGTAGTATATAACTTAGGCAACTACCTCTCGCGTAATGTTAATATGTTCGCGTCTTAACCTAATACATCAAAAAGTTTTGTCTAGTTATACTACCTTGTATTTATCTTATAAGAATTTTGATATCAACTGGCCTACTTTTTATGTACAGACTTGAAATTTGGACCAGGGATATAATTTGTGTAATTTTTGATGTTGAATTCAATTTTGATATCAGCTGACCTACATGTACTTCTAATATTATTGACACCATTTGACCTACTTTTTTGACACACATACTTTAAAATTGGAACAACTGACCTACTTTTGATATTTTTGATATTGCTTGACCTATTTTCTTGATTTTTGATATACAGACATAGAATTTGGACCAAGGGTGTAATTTCTGATCTCAAATCAAATTTTGATATAAGTTTATTTACTTTTGATATTTTTGATATCATTTAACCTTCTTTCTTGCTTTTTGACATAAAAAATTGAAATTTGGATTGATGGTGTAATGTTTGATGTTAAATTGGATTTTGATATTTGTTTACCTACTTTTGATATTATTGACACCATGTGACCTACTTTCTTGTTTAGTAACGTACATATTTTAGATTTGGACCAGGGGTGTAATTTCTGATGCTGAATTGAATTTTTATAGCAGCTGACATACTTCTGATATTTTTGATACCATGTGACCTACTTTCTTGTTTTGTGACGTACATATTTTAGATTTGGACCAAAGGTGTAATTTCTGATGGTGAATTGAGTTTTGATAGCAGCTGACCTACTTATGATATTTTTGATATCAATAGACCTACATTCTTGTTTATTGTCATACAGACTTTGGACTAGGAGTGTAAGTTCTGATGCTGAACTGAATTTTCATATAAGCTGGCTTTCTTTTGATATTTTTATATCGACCTAGTGTCATTTTTTCTAGGTAGATTATGTTATAGCATATATAAAAAATTTGTTGTCCCAACTGTAAATTTCAAACATCTACACTTTACATATTTCGCATGTGACATTTTGTGTATTCATTCACAAAAGTTATTAAAAGAATTGTCCCATCAATATTTACTCTGCTGTAGTGGTCATTTATTCTACATAGGCTCAACGAACCATGCTTGCAAAATAGCTATTTTTAACAAAGCCTTTTCAAAATATTAGGACAAAATATTTCAATTTATATAGCGAACAATGAAATGATGGGTCAGATGTTTGATCTAGGGCCATCTTGGCCCTATTGCTTATTACCAAGAAAAAAATCAGTGTTATGAAGGAATATAACTAGAGGGGCAAGTTAAAGTTGAGCTGGACTTGCCTTTTGGCAAGTTCATTCGAAAAATAACAGTTGTTTCTGTTGAGCGACCCAGGACAATCATGACCATCTTGTTTGTTTATTTTTTTTGTTGTTGTTTTTTTACATGATGGGACTAAAATCATTTTTCGAGATTAGTGTTCCATTTGATGAAGTTTAAGAAAAGTAACTTTTTGTGCAAAACTTCATATCAATCTCTCCATCCGTTTTTCCAAAATGATTTTTCCAAGTGTTCAAAATGACCGAAATTGAAAAACGTATCAACGCCTTTCACTCAAATTGGAATAAGAAAAACACAAAATACAATTTAAGTTTATTATAATTTGCACATCTTACTGTTTTAAGTGCCCCGTTGATCTTATGAAAGAAATTGCAATTTATATTTTAAGGCATTTGGACCTCAGTGGAGTTCTTTTAACATAATTCAAAACGTTTCGTCCTATTTTTCCTACTTTCCTACTCAAAAGTGAAATAGCACGACATTGCATGTCATTTATGAACAGAAGTAAAATTTAGAACTTAAAACAATTCTTGTTGTTATATAATTTCATTCTAAAATATGTAATACAATTATTTTTAAATTTTAAAGTTATGTTCTTCTCAATGCAAAATGACCTCTTTATTTTACACGACATATTTGTAAGAAGTAATATTGAATTTAAGAAAGATAATCTAAATAAGCAGGTCTTTTGTAATCATTATCCTAAAAGTAGAATAACCTCGGGTACAATATGAATTTGGTATGGATAATTTAGACTAGGAAATTAACAAGGCTAAATTTAATACAATATGGATTTGATATGGAATTTCCGGTCTCAGAACTTTAAAATAAAGGCTAAATAGGCTACATATTAAATTGATGCGGAGATGAGGAAGGAGTGGATGAGAGAATGAAAACGAATATAGATTAAGTAATTATTTATGATATTGGAATATCACACAGTGCAGTCATTGGTTACATTTCATAATGTGTGAAACAAAAAATTACAACTTGTTTATATGAAAAACTTTTGCTCGTTAAATAACTTGTATCACTACCTATGGCCACTTTTTGAGACATTTGGGGGCCTGTAAGAATTTTATGATTATATAATATTTATCCGGTATGATGATCCTATTAACATCACAAATTCTTTCTCTTTAAGGTTTGTGAAATTGTCTGTAAAATGTGATAATATTTCTATAGAAGCAAGTTATTGCAACTGTGTGTATAGTAAAATTAAAAGTTAGCTAGCAATCAATGAGTAAGCGCAACGGTAACGGATCACAGCCTTATATGTGTGTATGGTCTATACGTAAATTAAAAATCCTTCAAAAATTGACATAACTCGAAAGTAAAGGCAAATGTTGATTAAAATTCAGCCTAACTCCTCTCTCCCTAAGGGTTGATTATTTACCAACGCACCCACAGCTTCCCGCTATTTTTCTTACCAAGTTGCTGATGATTTTTTTTATCTTCATAAAAACATTCCAGTTGCTACTAGATGCATACGTTATGTATAATCCAGTCAAACAACCGTCTATACATAGCCATTATAACAAGTCACAGACAGCTGAACGTATTCATTGTCCCCCAAGATCATTGATTCTACAATCTCTAATGTTGAGAATTGAATACCCCCAAAAGCCGGTGCTAGAGGGGCAGATAGAATTCTTCTAAATCTGGTGGTAGGGACAGTTTGAATACTCCTTAATCCGGTGCTAAGAGGGACTTTTTGAATACTTGTTAAGTCGATGCTAGCGGAAGTTTGAATATTGCTAAAGACGGTGCTGGGCAAATTATATACTCTTAAAGCCGGTGCTGATGGGGGAGATTGAATATTCCTAAAGCCTGTGCAGGGGGCAGAGTGAATACTCCTAAAGCCGGTGCTTGGGGAAGTTTGAATATTCCTAAAGTCGGTGCAGGGCAGATAAAATATTCTAAAAACCGGTGCTGATGGGGACAGATTGAATACTCCTAAAGCAAGTGCGGGGATAGGGGGCGCATTAGACTGTCTCACGAACAGATTAAATAAAACCCAGTCTGCCGTTTTTTATGTTGGGGTGGATATCATGGCTTGAGGGATCTCCCTTTGAATTCATAAATATGATACTCCTTACTTTTTACGCAACACACAGGGTTATATAGAATACAACTATTAATTGATCATAGTCATATTTTTGTTGCTTAATTATCTGCATAATACAAAGATTATTATTATATACTCGTCATTTGTACTATTTCAGTATCTCTCCGACCCCGGGTTGTTTATAAACCCACAGAATTTCCCTACTCGAGATGCACTGAACACAGTACAAACCGAATGACGTGTGAAAAGCTAAATATCAGTAAAGGTTGGTAAAGATTTCTCTGAAATAATTTTATGATACTGAAGAATCTGGATTTTTCTTTTCGAAACACACATATTATACATGTTATAACATTGCACATGCAAGTATTCCGTCCGTCCGTCTGTCCGTCCATTGTCTTGTCCGGAGCATAACTTGAAAACCCTTGGAGATAATTTGTTTAAATCTCATACAGTGGTAGAGGGCATTGAGGGGGAGTGCAGTGTCAAAGAACCATAACTCTATTTTGCCCTGTTTTTGAATTATCTCCCCGTATAGAAAAATATTGTCCGGGGCATAACTCTAAAAATATAAGAGATATCAACATGAAACTTTGTAGGTGAATAGATCTCAATGGGTAGATGTGCAGTGTATAAGAACAATAACTTTTTTGTCCTAATTTTCGAGTTATTGCCCTTTGTTAAATTCAACATTTTGAACTTTGTCCGGAACATAACTCTAAAACTATAAGAGATATCAAGATGAAACATTGTAGGTAGATAGATCTCATTGAGTAGAAGTGCAGTGCAAAAGAACCATAACTCTGTTAAGCCTTATTTTTCAATAATCCCTTTTAGAAAAATCATGTACTGGACATAGCTGTAAAACTATAAGAGATATCAACATGAAACTTTGTAGGTAGATATATCTCAATTGGTAGATGTGCAGTGCACAGGAATCATAACTCTGCCTTGATTTGAAGTTGTCCGGAACATAAATCGGAAACCATAAGAGATATTGTTACGCTACGGTCCAGCTATATGGTACCAGGCCCCTTTAATCTTCTTAAAATGTGTGGTAACGTGCTCAAGACTTGGTGACCAATAATCGGACTAGACTGTAGAGAACGATATTGTATTTACGAACAATGAAACGATCGCAAATATAACGATGTTCTATATATAATAGAAATTGTTAGGGTTAGAGGGACTAATGATACTTGTTTCGGACGACTGTCAAAGTCTATATATAGAGATCTATTTAGCTGAAATATGCTATTACGACATCTATCAATAGTGGGCTACTCTGTATGGCTAGGACACTGTACTCCACAGTACTTGATAACACTTCCTTACTTCTGGAGATACGCCAGTTTAAGATTAAAATTGAGTTACAAAGAAGAAAGAATGTTCATAGTTTACTAATTTAATTAGTGTTAAACTGTTAATAAATTCAATTGTCAAATATTCAAATAACAGTATTGTGAATAACATCAACACATGTATATAATTCAGTCTTAAATATCCGATAGCTATGTCTAACATAGACTTCACATAAATTATTACTGCGACTGCCGTTTAATTTCTATTCAAAAATATGACAATGTAAATAAAAAGTTTGGTCGAGTCATTGACCGTATTAATGTGAAACAAAAATTATAAAGTTCTTATCAATTATTTATAGTTAAATGTAAAATAATAATCTAAAGACTCTGTTTTATTTTGCCTTAAAAATAAGTAAAATTTGCCGTTCAGAAGAACACAGCAATAATGTAGACTAACCGAAAGTTAAATAAAAACTGACTGAAGTTGATCGTTTTCTGGCCTATTTATACCAAATCTGAGAAAACGAACATAAGAAGGTTCGAAAAATGTTCAACTGTACGTTTTGGTCGGTGGACAATGTTCGACGTTCAAAAACTGTACATTTGACGTTCGGAAACGATCAATTCCATACACATAGAACGCCGCTGTCAACCAACCGAACGTCCGAACATCAACAATTCTTAGCTAAAGTTCTATGAAAGTTTACGTAAAAATACGATAAATTGATACATATAATATTTATAAAAATGACTAGTACCATGGATTGACTATAAGTTTGTTGCTTTTGATGAAACATAACTTTGAAACAATTTGTTTACTGAGCTTAAACAGCAATTGCTATTGACAACGGAAGTCACACAACCCATAATGCATCAGCGAACAACAACAACACCTGTCAAAGTTTATCGAGTAAAATTAGAATAAATGCAACTTTCTAGCTAAATGTACGCTGATTATACGAAAATATGTAAACAATTCATGAAATAAATCATTTTTCTTTATAATTCTGACATTATTTATAGTTGTCAGTCACTCAAATTAACAAATGAAGCGTTTATCTGTATATGCTAAATGTAAACAATGTCGATAATGACATACGACCTGAGTAAACAAGTGAGATTATATCAATATCAACAAGAAACTTTGTAGGTTGATAGATCATAGTAATTAGAAGTGCAGTGCAAAGAACAGTAACTCTGCCTTGCCTAATTTTGGAATTATTGCACTTTGAACTTTTTCCAGGGACATAACTCTGAAACCACAAGAGGTGTACTTTCCTGTGTCCAAAACCTATTCGGGGAGCATCATCCGGCTCAAACCGGGCTCTTGTTTACTAAGTCAAGAGCAAATTCCTGTAACTTTTATGACTAGGTCAAATACTTTTTGAGCTACGTGCGACACAAAATGACAACGGACGGACGGATGAATGGACGGATCGATGGACATGGCCAACATTTGGGGTTTATGTGTTTTTCTTTTATCTTTATGCGGCATTTTTCCCAATAAACCAGTAGAATTTACCACATAAACCAGCCGGTTTATGGAATTTCCTCCTTTTTAGCACGACTACTCGATAAGAATAAGTAAAGCTATTGTAGTCACCCGAGCATCGGCGTAACCACTTATGTTAAAGTTTTTGTAATAGTTCAAATATCCATTGACATATGGCTTTGAAACTTTGCACACTTGTTCACCATCATGACCTCAACCTGTAGACAGGTGGAGGTTACTGAATCAAGCATTTTGAATCAAGAATTATGCCCTTTTTTTCGATTTAGAATTTACGTAAACATTTTGTAATAGTTCAAACATTTTCAAAGTCCATGGACATATGGCTTTGAAACTTTGCACACTTGTTAACCAGCATGGCCCCACCATGAAGACAGGAGGAGGTAACTGTATCAAGCATTTTGACAGAATTGTGCCCCTGTTTTCGACTTAGAATTTACGTTTTGTAATAGTTCAAATATTTTCAAAGCCCATTGACATATGGCTTTGAAACTTTGCACACTTGTTCACCATCATGACCCCAACATGTAGACACTAGTAGCTCTATGATGCATTTTGACAAAATAATGGCCCTTTTTCAGCTTAGAATTAACTTTTATATACATATTCTATTGACTTATTTTCATATTATATTGATATCTGGCATTGATACAAATTGAAATTTTATACTTTTCTTTGAGAGCACTATAGGACTCTTGCCGTGGCCTATAACTGTAACATGGATTTAAAGAATTTTTTTGCCATTTTGTTAACTTTGAAAATTTTACATTATCAAGGCTCTTTTACTATCAACCACTAAGAATAGTCGAGCGTTGCTGTCCTACCGACAGCCCTTGTTAAACTAACATTGTGAACGGAATGCAGCTCATAGATCATTGGATGTTCGCCCGGACGGACGGACAAGGGTTAATCTTAATGCCCCCCTCCCCTATAGTGAGGGTGCACAAAAATCGACCGGATCTAGTATTTTTCGCGCATGCGCAACCTGTGTAGGGCAAAGCTCATCGCCCTACTTAGAAATGCAGTAAAGTTCATAGACATATCTGAATCAGATATCGGTTAAAAGTGAAACATATAAATAAATAGCTTTTTACAAAAAAGCAAAAGATGCCTTTATAGCTTTGTGGAAAAATTTATATAAAAGGATATGTAAAAGATGATTTTTACCCAGTCTGAACATGTCTGACTTGCAAATCATTTAGGTAATTGTTATAAAAATGTGGAAATATGTTATTTTAATCAAGAAAAAAGATCAATTTTATTCTTCTGGAAATGGTTCATGTGAAAATACTATTTTGATTTATTTACCATACGAAGTTAATTTGAAGTTAATTATCATTCTGATAAAAAGAGAACAAGTGATAATGCATGTTTATGAATATGTTTCTAGTATTCAGTTTACCTTATCTTATTTTTCATGCAATTGGCAGTGATGGCCAACAGTATATTACGTTTAAGATATTTTACAAAATATTGATAACTAAAGACAATTTACCAGATAGGTGGCACAATATCACATTTTATCCAGTTTATCGTCACACATTTTAAAAATCGAGGTAAATGCATTCAATACAATTTGTCACTTCACGAATATAACAAAAAAATATGGGACAAAAAAGCGTTGCACTACATAGAAATGTAAAAGACAGTTCATAAGCATTTCCGAGTAAGTTAAA